ATCAGAAATATGACATCATTAAGGCATCAGAACTATAACGTCATTATGTTATCAGAACTATGACATCATTCTGTCATGAAAACTATGACATCATTATGTCATCAGAATTATGACATCATTATGTTATTGAGCTATGACATCATTCTTTCATCAGAACTATGACATTAGTCTGATGTCTAAAATAGGACATAATTCTGCCATCAGAACTATGACACAATTCTGTTATCAGAACTATGACATAATTCAGTCATCAGAACTATGACATCATTAAGTCATCAGAACTATGACATCAATCTGATGTCTAAAATATGACATAATTCTGTCATCAAAACTATGACACCATTCTTTCATCAGAACTATGACATAGTTGAGTTATCAGAAATATGACATCATTAAGTCATCAGAACTATGACATTGTTATGTTGTCTGAACTATGACATCATTTAGACATCTAAACTATGACATCATTACATCATGATGACACTAGAGAATTTACATTTCCGGCAAAAATGCTGGTGTGATTGCTTCTTTCTGATAAATTTAGCTGAAGCTAAGAAACAAATTGATTATGTCACTGATGATGTCACTGAGTAACTGATGATGTCACTGATGATGTCACTTATGTGACTAATGATGTCACTGATGACATCATCATAACCAAAATTTAAAAATCGAAATTGCTAAAAAACTATAAAATTTTAAGATACCAAAAATCATAGCCGGAATGTCCTGAAGGAGCGGAACATTTTAATATATGAATGTTTAAGTAGCATAAAAATTGTGGAAGGAGAAGCAGTCCAAAACACGTACCCATTCAAAGTCAAAGGGGGGAAAAATGCTTAAAAATTGGAATTGCTATAAAAGTATGAACAGTTAAGTTACCAGAAGTCATAGCCGGAATGTCCTGAATGAGCTGAACATTTTGATATATGAATGGTTTAAGTAGCACAAAAGTTGTGGAAGGAGAAGCGGCAAAAATGAATGTGTGAATGCAGAAGCATTCACAATGAAAAAGAGAAACATGAAAACAACAGTGTGAATGCCTCCAGCATTCACACTACTTAAACCATTCATATKTTAAAATGTTCAGCTCCTTCAGGACATTCCGGCTATGATTTTTGGTTTCTTAAATTTTTATAGTTTCTCAGCAGCCTGCTCACTACAACAACAAAGCAAGGACGGATCGGCAGCACCGCTGTCCACTCTGGCACTCTTTTAAAGCCGTAGGCCACAACCCCTCCAGGCAGACCTGTATCAAGCACAATTAGCACAGATAGATGGCAGCTGTCTGCAATAATAAGCAGCAGGGCCGTCACAGTTTACATGGGATTAGTGAAGACTTTGTCATTTTCAGAAACTCCCACCATGCTGCCAGAGATGAGCTGATATTAATGCTTTTAAAGCAAACATGTCATTTTATGTTTGCGCTAATTAAACCAATTAATCTTGAAGGCTGTACATAGCTTCATTGTCTACAGATCTGGTATGACCATTTGTGTTTTTTCTAATATATGAACTTTATTTTTCCATAATAACTGAAAATAATAGAATTAGTTTTCTTTTTACTGCAGATACATAAAGGGTGTGGCAGAGATAAGTACGTTTAGCTATAACTTCAGCTTTAGATAATACCCACCAAAAAGTAAAACATTCTTCTTCTTCTTCTTCTTCTTCTTCTTCTTCTTCTTCTTCTTCTTCTTCTTCTTCTTCTTCTTCTTCTTCTTCTTCTTCTTCTTC